AGACAAGAACCCCTTTCCAGCCTGGATAGGTAGCTATCACCCCCCACCTCCCCCCCCAATCTCACACACACACTTCACCCCCACAACATACAAGAGTAAGACTATTTTGAACTATTATACAATCACCTCTATATACACTATGCAAATCAGGGCACAAATCTTTTTTGAAATAAAAATTAAAATATGTTACAGTAGATGTTCGATTTTTAGTATACAATTTGGGTTTTTTCTGGTTCCAAGATGGCAACCCCCCTTCCCAAAAGGAGTACTTCCAAAGGCATGGGGTGGGGAGGACTTCTAGTGGCAAAGGTCAGGGGTTAGGGGTGGGACTTCCGATCCCAAAGTGGTGATCAAGGGGTGGGGCACCTGTCAAGGGTTGGTGCTGCCCTTGTGGCCCTTGACAACTCACCCAAAGTTTTTAAGCGGCCTTCCAGACAAAATAATTGCCCACACCTAGTATAGAGGGTCCCAATTGCCTTGCTAAAGGCCCCAATTCCAAAACAGGTTCACATTTGCCAGCCTCAAAACATGACTGAAAAGCTATGTTATCAACCCTCAATTTTATTCTTAGACTAATGTTATGTGGTGTCTGTTGTAAAGCTCCAGCTACTGATCTCCTATGACTGTGCGATCATGAGAGTTTTCCTTAGAAAGTCCCTATGATTGCGGTATGAGACTGGAAATATGGCCCAAGTATACACTAAACGTTCAAACAGCAAGCAATAGAGGACTCTCCCAACCAATCGTACTTTGTGGGGGAGGGGGAGTAAGGGCAGGGGGAATGCAGCAAATCTGCAAAACTGAGCACAGGGCTGGCAGTATTTTACAAATCATGCTGTGCTCTGGAGAAAAAAGAGAGCTGTAAGTGAAAAGGTAATAGGATTTTGTTTTTCTGATTGAGAAAACTGTAATTTCAACAGCAAATAAGTAGAGCCCTTTTCTCCCCAGCATGACCTGGGGTGACAAGGGACAATGGTAATAAGCTGATGGAGAACAGGTTTAGGTTAGAGATCAGAAGGCAATATTTCACAGTTACGGTGGCCAAAAGCTGGAACCAACTTCCCAGGGAAGTGGTCCACACCCCTACCTTGGGCAAATTCAAGAGGAGGTTGGATGATCACCTGTTTGGGGTCTTGTGAACCCAGCATTCATTCCTGCCTGTGGCAGGGAGTCAGGCTAGATGATCTGTTCAGGGCCCTCCTGATCCTAGCTACTATGAAACTATGAAATAATCTAGCATCCTTTAAAAATCCCAGCCCAGAATTGCTTTGTTTCCTGTAGGCTACTGCAGGAAGCTGGCTGTTATTCAAAAAAACAAGCTGATAATGCAACAAGTGGCCAGCACATGCAGCGCAATTTGCTATGTTCAAACTTGTTGAGACGGAATAAAATGGCAGCATAGGAGCTTCATGATGAAAAGATGAAGCATCCGTCTGCATACCGCAGTCTTGACAGGTAGTGCAGAATTAAGACTCTGATTCCTGCTTGACATTTTGATATGCCATCCAGTTTTAAACAAAAAAAGAGCAGTGTTCCAAAACTAAAGATCCTGATTTAGAACAATGACAGTTTACACTGAAGTTTCTGTGATGCACTATATATTTGATGGGATACTGTACACTTCTTACCGGACACAATTTTATTACTAACTGGTTCAAGTATCCTTATAATTTTAATAGGATGTTTCAAAACAATGTCAGCGAGAATGGGTGTAGAAAACAGCCTGATCATTCTAAATGCATCAGAAACAGGCTTATTATTCAGCATCTTCCCAATATAACAATACAAAACATTACTGCATTGTTGGCATGTTATTAAGTCTCAACATAAGTATCACATCCATTCTAACAGAACGACTCTTGTTCTGCCCTAAAATAGTATACTATACTAACTCCTTACCTAGGACCGCTAATTCAAAAGCTTGAGTATAAGTTATTTATTTGATCTCCCAATAAGAAATATCTGACACAGAGAGAGCGCATGAGCAAGCAAGACAAAGTTACTGTATTGTAAAAATGGGGGAGTCATGAGATCTGGATTTGATGTCCAGTTCTGCCACTGAGTCATATTCCTTTAAGCAAGTGTGTATTGCCACTACCCATGAAATAACGGGTATAACATTTATCTACCTCACAGGAGTGAGGAGAGTTATTTTCTGTAACAATCTGAGACCCTCAGAGAAGAGACAGTATAGAATTGCAAAATATTAATAATCGTCCGTTTAATAAAAACCTTAAAGTTTAATACGCAATAAAACAGGATGTAATAGAGATTGTAAAACATAAAAAACTTCAGGGTTGACAAGAATCAAGCCCAAGAGTCATATTGTGAACATAAAACACTGACTGGTTCATATGAAGAGATCAACTTTTTTCTTGCAACAGATACATTTTCTCTCCAAACTAACCCCACATACCGAGTTTGTTTGTACTCTAGATTGAAGATTAGTATAGTAATGGCAAACTGTACTCTGTGAGGAAGAACAACTGTTTTTACAAACAGACCAATACAGTGTAAAATTTTTTTAAATAATTGCTTTGAATTCTGCAGTTCTGCAAAGCCTGAAAATTGTGTTTCAATAACCATTTTTAAAAGTTTGAAATGAGCATGTAAAATGACAGCTTGTGTTTAAAATTTGAAATTATCCAATATGAAACGTAATCTGTTAAATCCCAAGAGAGGGTGTGATAACAGCAATGCTGACAAGACCCTTTGCTGCAGTGGAGCTTCTGGGTGCTGCAATAACAGTCACACGTTTCTTATGAAGCATAATACTATCTTAAGAAAATTGTTTGGTAAGCATCCTAATTTCATACCTCACAGCATCCAGTCTCTTGTTCTGTCGAATGAGTTCAATGAACTCCTGAATCCTTAGGCTGAACTCCAGACAGCTCTGAGATTAAAGACAAGACAGGGTCTTAGATGGGGCCACAGCAGCATTGCACAGTGTATCTTATGGTGTTTAAGCACTCAGTGTGCCACAAAATAGTGTTAATGGCATGCAACTTTGTTTGCTTGCTTTTTAGGCATTCATGCAGATAAAGCAGTTTAATGGGTGATGAAATGCTAGCACACAGAATGCCTTAAAAGCAAACAAAAACCTCCTACCTCTCACCCTTCTTCAAAACTGAAATGTTTTAACAGGAATCAACTGTGTCCTGATGACTGAAGGACCCCACTATCCTCTGGGTGTGAATGGATTACAGCTGGGTTGCTTTGTACTATATTCCAATTGTATGAGAGCAGATATTGCAGAAATTTCTGAGACAAAGCAACAATTAAGATAGAGGGACCTCTTTGCCAAAGGGGACCAAAAGTATTAGACAAGGTTGTGGGGGATAGAAACAGAGTCTGAACACTAGCTTGAATGTACCCGTATTCACATTAGCAGGAAAGGGCACGTTGAATTTGGGTCACTGAGGATTTGCCTTCCCTCACAAAACACCCATCCCAGTTCCCCCTCCCATCACCCTCCCTAGTAGTGACTTAAAAGCCATACTAAGGAGACATCTCACACAAGAAAACCATGTGACATTTACCTGCTTTTGGAAAAAGGTAAATTTTGAGGCCTACTAAAGTGGACAGTATTCATCACCAGTATGAACATGTGGAATTAAAAAGAAAAAATAAATCCTTTTCCCCCAAAGGAAGTCACTGTGCTTTAGCATATAGAGGCACAGGCAAGTTTTTTAAGAAAGCAAAAAAAGAAAATAATAATAAATACTCCCTGTGCTCGAAAATAAAAGTATTTCTCAAGTTTCTCTGCTCCATTTAGCAAATGTTTCTCTCCTCCATGTTTCTAATGAATGGGGATCTTTTGTTTATTGTGTATGTGCACACTAATATCAAAATTCCTCAGTGACATCAGCAGGAATTTAAGTAGCTCCAAATCGGGATCAGTTAACTGTTTCTGGTAGCTGTCAAAAAATTATGCATTTATTTGTTTTTAAATGGGAAATTTTGTAGAGCAATTTGAAGGAAATCTCACATTGACAGAATGCAGTCTAAATTAGTTTGGAATGAAGTACTGGGGGGAGGAGGGAAAGGGGAATATATCAGTTAACTTTCTAATTTGCAAAACTGTTTGCTCAGGAAAGGAAGGACCAGCCTTTTAACAACAGCATTTTTCTGTAGCCTAAGTTTTGTGAGAGACAGAACACTTCAACTGCAGATCTACATAAAAAAAGATGGAGCCAATTTTAAATGATTTTTTAAAAATCCTTAGTTATTTAAGATGCACGTATTTTATTTAGGGGCAGGGGGATTTTAGAAGTTTACCTTTTAACAACAGGCTGTTTTGTTTTTTTAACTAGTCAACCACTCTCTATAGACAGTGCATTCTGAATTCTAATCCTGTCTCCTCTTAAAAGTACTGGAAGAGAACAGACTCCCTCCGAACAACCTTCAAAGCTTTAGAAGTCTTCAAGTGAACTGAAAGCCAATGGCTGGTCTGGATTTTAGAAAATGTTATAAATTAACACCCCCCCCATCCTCCAAACGTGTCCAGTGTTTTCAGAACTATACTTTACAAATCCTGCACAAGTTTGGGCAACAATTCCACAGCCCTTGTTACCAAGAGTGAGACTGCTCACGCATGTAAGGACTCCAGCAATGGGTATTCTTCCCACCTATTCCAGTTTACCCCACCCCATTGTTAAAGATGCAGAAAGATAGCGGGTGGGGCTTTAGCAAAGTAACATTGATAAACAGCTAGCTTTCTATTCTAGACACTACCCAGGAATTTACTCCTTGGTTATTTTTAAAAAGCAAGTTATTTCTCTTTCTCCAGTTCTAACCTATCATAGCCTCGGCTTTTAACGTAAAAGTAGGGCTTGCAGAAATATTTTTTTTTTTTTATTCCTGGTTGTTACCATCATGTTGAAGATTGGTGATGGAAAAAAGGTTAAGAGTACTTCAGATTTCATTCCTCACGTTACTTAACAAGTTAAAATGACATAAGGCTTTCTTCAGCATTATAATTATCCAAGTGTTTACATACCAATTCTGGTTTTCCTTTAATGGTTTCCATAACAACATCATCATTTTCTTTAGAGTAATCACTGGCCGATTTAGTTTTGCATCCCATCTTCGGTTCACTCTCATTTTGGAGCCCCTGAGTGACAGAGAACGTCGCTCTTTGCTTGGCATTAAGTGCACTCAAACATTTTTGGTTAAAGAAAGTGCTTAGTTTAAAAATAACAAGAAAAAAGAGAAAGACACAAAAACCTTTCCAAGGGAAGCAGGGACTTTAGTTAATGTCAGTTAAAAACAGATTTCTGCAAGCCCTATAAAAGATTAAACTTAGTTTTAAAAGAATGCTGTACAAAGAAGGGAATTTAAACTAACTTTATAAGAACAAATAGAAAGTGACACCTTATGTTCAGTTCATGGTGTTCAAGGGCTAGAAAAATGTATTATGTTCACACTACACTAAATGCAGCTTCTTTGAGTACTGTTTCCTCTTACAAATGCAGGTAAGCTTTCTTTAAGTTTTTACAGCTGTAGAAAACTTTTCTATTAAATTTCTCCCACTGTGTTATGCTTAAGGACATCTGCTTAGCATTTCAATTGCTCACCACACTTTTTAGAAACAGCTTCATATACACACCATGAATTATGTTCTCAGCAGGATGCAAGGAGTTATGCACATAAGTCTTCATGCATCGAGATGAGATTATACTTCTTTGCATTTAGGTTTCTCTAAATCGCATTAAAACAAAGTCATACTGCTATGTAATTTCACTGCAAGTTTGTCAAGGAAAAACTTGCATTTAGAGGACCTAGATTCAGCATCAAGTTTAATCTGGGTGTTAGTGGGTGCAACTCCACTGATTCTGGCCTAAGTACTCAAGGGCTGTATTTTGCACTTCAGATCTTTACGTTAGTACAAGTCCTTATTCGTATCTAAATTTTAAACCATAGCCAAATATTCAAAGAATTCTGAAAAGCAGGACAGTTTATATCAAGTAAAAGCTTTATACATTACACTACTATACCTTCATTTTCCTGAGCCTGGATTTGTTATCATGACACCAAGCCAAACAAGTCATGGTTTCCTGTCTTTCCAAAGATTCTTCTACTTCTTTAGCAGTCAGGAACATCTCAATATTTACCAGATCCTTAAGAGAAAGAAAAAAAAAAAAAGAGCACTTAAGTTCTGTTTTATAAGAGGAAATTCTACACAAAAATTGCATTTTTTATACCTACAGATAGAGGACTACCACTTTGAGATATGTCTGGTTTTAAAACTCTCTCGCCTTGCAAATGATACTCATGTAAAAATAAAGCAACAGCAGCACTTTTGAATAATAACAATCATGTACATAAGATATAAGGTAATATTAAAAAGGTTGTGAATTCATTTTTTCATACACAGCCAAAAGCAGACAGTGAACTTTCTTAAAATACAAGGCTAGAACTAAGGAAAGAGGAGGGAAGAAGTGGTTTCAGTCATACTCAAATCTGTTTGGAAGCCGGCATGAAACAAATTTGGGGAATACAAACAATTTTCCATCAATACCACATCACAAGAACTAGCATCGTAACTGGTACCTAGACTGAGAAGGACTGTAGAGATCAAGATACTTCTCCATGGACTGAGCGACTCCAATGGCAGCGTGTGAGGTTGCAACGTGGCTCCCTTACTGTACTTGTTTTGTAGGGCAAATTCTGTAGATCCAACGGATTACTAGTCTATCGCTTTTCAGAAGCAAAATTCCAGTTTAAAGGTTCGATTTTTATATACGTATAGCACTTATGAAGTGATGATTTCAGATGTGCCAGTTACATAGAATGTGACAGCATGTACTAGAAATCAGCTTCGCAACCTATCACTGAGTGACTTGTAAATAGTTGCAACACATGTTTTGTATTAACATTCTCATTTGATTTCTACTCCCTTTAAATCACCAGAATTACATACAAGAGAAAAAGGTGAAGACTTACTAGCTTCAACAAAACTACCTGTCACCTGTGGAGTTCCTGGGAATACTTTGTAAAAGTCTGATGCTTCCATGTGCTTCCTTTTAGCTTCTTAACATAAAAAAAAAAGAACTCACCCCACCCCTCCCCAATTGCTTTGGCACTACAATTATTCATGTCTGAAACATCCTGATTCCAGTATCTAAACAAGGAGTACAAGTTACAGTATTAAAATTCCATTTTGCTGAGTGACAGGACATCTCACAGGAAGTGAAAACATTGCTTGTGACAAGCACAACCTAGTATTAATTTGCCTAGGGCAAACATTTAACTGCACCTATATACAGCTTCATAATTCACCCAGAGCTTTGTACATTCAAACGGACAAAGTCAAATGCAACTGAATATATCCACTCTTTAAGACACACTGCGGTAGATTATTAAAGGATTTTTTTCCATTCATTTGTAATGAAAGGATTTAGAAGGGTGTTTTCAAACTAAGATGAACTGGATCCATTTTGAATTGGCATCCCCAGAGATTATTCTGAGCTGCATAAATGTGTCATGCTGTGACAGCTCATACTTAGAGGAAGAAAATTCTCTGTGGGGAACCGTACAATTCAATGTTCTACAAACACAATAATCCAGTACTAAGAATGTTTGTATTAACATAAAAATGAACTTGTTTCACCAAATGTAAAAGTGTATGTATGTTTCAAGGCAGTACTGAAAACCATACAATTGAAATATGCTGAATATGACAGATATTCAGAATGGCACTAATGAACAAGGACACTGCCGGAGTAGGAGGTGGTATTTTCAGCTGTTAGTCTATACAGCTGCTGTGCTGTAACTCAGTGTTCATTAACCACCTCTCGGGACAGTCTGAGATGTTAATTCAGTTTATAAACCAGATATTTATTTGTATAGGTAGTACCACATTTCTCAGTTTTGTTTTCTTGCACATTCATGATCTCCTGAGCAGTAAACTAAGACAAAAGGGCTAGGGACAAAAGTTACACAAACTGGTTTAAGTCATCAGAAACTGGTTTAAACCTGTAACAGAACGGAAGTTCACTGCACATAAACCAGTTTCAAAAAGACGGAAACTGGTTTAAAATAAATAATGTAGTATCACACTTGACTGACTTAGGTCAAACCGGTTTATGAAACATGTGTTCCAGACCCCTTCCTGGTTCAAGTTAAATCACAGTCCCCCAGCAGCCCAGAACGCTTTGCAGCTCTGAGCTAGGTTGTGCTGTCTGCTCCAGAGAGCAGGGCTGGCACTGCCCCTCTGCTCCCTAGCCAGAGCAGTGAGGGCTGGCTCACTACCCCACATCAGGCAAACCCTTGCTGGGGTCTGGGGTCGGTTAAACGTCTTTTCTCCCCTGAGTAAGGAGCTGCCGTGCTGGCTGTGACTGTAGACTAAAAATCCCAGGAGGCACCTGGAAGCAGGAAGAGGAAGTGATAAACAACCCTGCAGAGTCCTGCTTCTGTGAGTATGGACTGCAAATCCAAGAGACCTTGGGGGCAAGCAGGAAGAGGAAGCAAACATACAGCCCATGCTGGCTATGTGCCAGAGAGCAGTGCTCTAACACCTCCTAGCTTCTGGCTTGAGCCAGTGCAGGCATGTGGCGGCATTTCCTGAATCAAAAGTAAGTGTCTGTTCATTGGCTTATTGGTTCAATTTTTGCAGCTTAGACTAAGCTGTAAAGACTGAATCAATTCAGCCTGAGGCTTTTTGACTGTCTGTACTTAGCCAAGGCCAGTACTGCAGAAGTAGAAACAGCTACAGGCCTGTTTATACAGGTGCACTATTGCTTAGAAGTTTAAAAACTTTCCCTAAACTTTTCCCTACCCCTCAACAATTTAAAAGCCAAACTGTCCTCAGAGAAGATTTTCAAAGCAAATATAATCATTTAAAAATACAGCTACCATTTACCTGCTAATTTACAGTACCACAAGAAACACACAACTTAATTCTAACCTTACTCTGATTTGAAATATTTTGTCAGTGGAATTAGAGGTGTTACTCACACCAGAGCAAAAATCCAACAGTGACCTAAACATATACCAAGATCATTTGTTGGTGTTTTTATGAGGAGGCAAATAGTTTGATCTGTGTGTTGGTAAAAGGGTTTGAAGTGATAGCATAGCAGTGTTTACCTGAAAAAAACCCTTTTCATGTAAAAACGGAAAAAAAAAAGGCAGTCAGTATCTATGTGGTAACTCTACCTTCCATTAATGGCACCCTCAGAAGAATCACACGTATGTGACCCTTTTGAATGAAAGCCAGAGGACAGACTGGGAAAAACCAATTTGTCCAAACAAACAAAAAACATGGTCCAATGTTTACGTATTTTTCATACAAATCATCCATTTGCAGTTTTGTCAAGGGAACTCTACATACTTCATGTTGCCACTGGCACTTGGCATACTGCATATCTGTATACATGTATAATAAGCAAGCATTAGGACAGTTTCTCTTTTTTCTGTTAAAACTATGCATCCGTACCTCTACTAGCGTTCAGAATACTTCTCAGATTTAACAAGCATACATATAAATATAAATGTTTGCTGGATGAAGTTGATTCCATACATATTTAAAAAACAAAGCATTTAACAGCCTCATAGATCCTGGTCAATGATTACTGAATTATTACTTCAAGGTTATTCAGTCTGTTACTACTTACAACTGTACCCTGTGACTTCAATACCACAATTATCTTTTCCATTTTTGCAGTTACTAACAAGTGTAACCAACAAAATGTCGACATAAGTCACCATTAAATAAGCTATAGTGAGTGTATATATAAAACAAAAATTGGTTTATTGTACTCCAAACTTGTCTCACTGATCATCACAGGACAAACCAACTAAAAAGCTAGCACATGACATGGTTTAAAATGTCTTATTGTCAATATATCCTCAAAAGCCAAAACAAGAAAAAGTATATAGCTCAATCAGGTTTGCTATTTTCTTGAAGTTTACCTTTTTCTCTCAAAAAGCACACTATCAAAAAATTCTTATTCTTTATACTTAAAAAGCTCTGTGGTATATTAAAAAAAAAAATCACTTTTTTGTTTTATCTTTGGCTTCATCTTTTTATGCCCTCTAATTAAATCTCAGCACAAGATTAAGTTAGATTCCCTTTAAATAATACGAGATTAGCATTAGATTTAAAATTACCTAATTGGTAAAGTCTTATACTATACATTTATCAGCAGGGATCCAGGTTTTCCATTTCCCACAGAAAAATGGGGTAAACTGCAGATTTTACCTTATACTGGAGAGAAACGCATATTTCTCATTTTACTGGAGAAACCTGTGGATTTGCAGTTTTGCCATGAGCCCTCTGTAGGCTGGCAGAGTTCCAGCCTGCAGGGGGCCGGGAGGGAGCGGGAGGAGGGCGGTCACGTATGGGCACCATGCGTGCATATATGCACATGGCCCCAGGCACCCTGGACAGCAATTCCTACAGGTAAGTGGCGGGGGGTGGGGGAAATTGAGGCCCTCATAGGGAGGGAGGGAGTTGGCAGGGATGGGGCTGCTGATTAGCCAGGCAGTGCCTGGCAGCTTGAGGCCCGTGCCTGCAATACATGGCCACAGGGTCCTGCAGGGAGCGGGATGGGACCACAGGTGGCTTGTCCAGAGAGTGGGAGGGGGTGGGACTGGCTCTGAGACTATGCCCACTCCCAGTGGGCAGGGGGAACCCGTACACCCTCCCCCCCGGCAATCTGTGCATGGGGTGGAGGCTGTGCACTGTCCACTGCAGGCTCAGGCTCCTGCCATGCTGCCCTCCCCCGGCACCTCTGTAGTCTAGTGTGTGCGACTGGGCGCTGCAGGCAGCAGTGAAGCTGCACAGGAAGCTGCCTGCCCCTGCAAGCTCTGCACTGCCTATTTCCCCTGCACGCAACCACATTCTGCCACCCCCGCTGTAGCCATGCAGGCAGAGGATACCTCGCTAGGACAGCGCAGAGCTTGCAGCAGCGGGCAGCTTCATGTGCGGCTCCACTGTTCTTTGCAGCATCAGGTCATACACAGTGGGCTGCAGAGACTGCAGGAGAGGGCAGCAGGGTGGGAGCCTGAACCTGCAGTGAGCACCATACAGCCCACGCACAGATGTGGGGGGCCCAGGTCCCCCTGTCCCCCAGGAGTGCATGCCATGGTGGGGAGCATCCCCCTCAGCCCAAGCCCG